CATCAGTTACCGTGGTGATCTAGCTGTGCAACATCAGTTACCATGGTGATCTAGCTGTGCAACATCAGTTACCATGGTGATCTAGTTGCGCAGCATCAGTTACCGTGGGGATCTAGCTGTGTAGCATTTGTTACCATTGTGATTCAACTGTGCAACAACAGTTACCATGGTGACCGATCAGGTTAAAACTCTCGTCTCGACGTACCTCTCTAACCTGTTAATTCCTCATCATCCTACAGCCCTCTGGTCACAGACACATTTAAAATAGTGACATTTCACTGTATGATTAGTTCATTTTATTGTTATCGAAGCTACAACTGAATTCGCTTTCAGGGTTGAAGTAAATCATGAGCATGTTCTGCCTCAAGTTCACATTTGGTACATTATGATTGTTTCATAGCTGTTTGTTTGCACCCAGAAAATACTGCGTTTCACTCAAATGGTTTCCTTCTTTCTGGTGTTTTCCTTCATGCATGTCAAACATAATAACCCACAAACAGCCAATCAGCTGTTGAAAATATCCATCAAACAAACTAGTTTGTCTTCACTTTTTATTATAATTTAATAATTTTACAGCCTGAATTTGCTCAGACTTGTTGCTTTTACACACATTTAACACAAAACATGAACCTTTTATATTCAGGACACCAAAACTCTTCAACTGAACTTCACCGTGCAACTAAAAAGCAAATCAGCAAAAACCTGTTTGTTGATTTAACTAAATTAGACCCTTTAAAACGCGTTCTGTTTTAAAGGGACGTCTCTGAACGTTTTAAATAAAGCATTAGAAAAGAAAAACACGTCCTAAAAGGCAGGACGGCTGGAGAGAAACGCTGTGACAAAGCAGAAAAGAGAAGCTCTGTAATAAAACCGAGCTGCTGGTTAATTAACTAACACTCTGCTTTGGGCGAGTTGTTACTTTAAGTACATTCATTACAAAATCCAATTATTTCCCTCCTCTCGTCTCCTCAAAGACACACTGGAACAAGACGGAGAGCAGAACTCATTATCCGACGCTCCGTCTTTGTCCTTAAATTCAGCTGACAGCAGAGATGTTCATCAGAAATCTGCCTACATACACATCAGCGCCGGTTATTATTCTGGAGGAAGGACGAGGCCGGTGTCTGACTCCGGAGCGTCCTCCTCGTGTGCGTTGTGGTGTCGTGTTTGTGTGTCTGTCGGTGTGTTGTCAGACATCTCTGCTCGCCTGTCAATCACGGCCCAAACAGCCGCAGGGACCAACGCACAAATTAACCTTCTGGGAAACTGTGGTTCAGATTCAGCACATCAGTCACCGCCAGAGTTCGACCGGCGCCGGAGTTCTGTTTGGTTTTTTTAAAAGCATGAAAATGTAGATATTCATAAATCAGCTGGAATCTTTACATATTTGTGTTGGATTGGTATTTAGAAGGGGAAACAATGGGCTCGTTCTTTATTAACTGTCCACAAATGTGTTTTACAAGCTACTCAGCAGCTCAGCTGTCTCTGCTGCATGTGCTGCACAGTGATGAGAGAGCGCACTCTGGTGGCCAAACTGTGTAATGACACTATTTCTAAATTAGCATATTATTCTTCAGGGAAAAAAAATCTCATGTTGGTGCTTATCAGGCAACACATATGTCAGTAATTTTGAATGATGAAATGTCAGAAAAAGTGCAATATTTTCAAACGTGGGTGGTGTTGGGAGGATATATGGATGTAGCCAACCAACTTTTGAGGCCTACAGTTGAGTGATATGTGGCAAATATGGAAAGACAAGGTTCCAGTTTTTAGCTCTTTTGACACCAATTCGTCTCCATTATCACGGTGGCTAATTAAAGATTTGCCCTCTGCTTTGGTCATGTGGAGCTGTTGTTTACATTTCTGTCTGCGTCGTCACACAGACAACAGATATTAAACTCTAAACATGGTTTCCCAGGTGAGACGTCTGCTTTTTGTTTTGGGGTTGTTGGTTTTTTTTTCAAAACAGAAAATTTCTCTGGTGTGAAATTCTCAAAAATCTGCCGAAATGTTCTACAGAGATTAGCTTTAGGCCCCAATGAACACATTCAGGAAGCTTAAACAAAATCTGGGACAGATTCTTTAAATCCTGTCTGAACTGAAACAGACTGAACCAGAAGATTCATCATCTGGGAACGTGAATGTGATGATGTACAATATGTCGACCAAGCACGTCCATCAGATGTTGGTTGATCTGATGTGCAGGAACCCCGGCTACCGAGTTAAAAGGCCGTCTATCTAATTAAATTGAAGTCTACGTTTTCTCTCCCCAGGGTTTCGTCTCGCCCATCAAGCGCCTGGTCTGGTCCAAATCCAGCCGGCGGCCGGCGGATCGAGGCAGCGTTTACCGCCGGCCGCTGCACACCGTGCCCCTGTACGCCCCCGACTACCTCATCCACCCCGAGAGGCTCATCTTCGACTACGTGGAGAAGGAGGTCAAGGTAGGAACTCAAACACACCACGACATCTGGACTCCAGCAGAACCCACCGGCTGACCTCTGACCTCTCCTCCTAGTTCCTCGGCCACCTGACCTGGGTGTCGGTTTCGCTGAACCCGTCCAGTCGAGACGAGCTGCTGCAGCTGCTGGACGCGGCCAGGGTTGGTAATCAATACGTTATCAATAACTCATCACTGAGGTCTGGAATGGAGCTGATCAACTGCTAACCTGTAACTAAGAACAGCCCGTTTTATCAATACTGGATCTGTAGATGATCCCAGCTGGGCTAATCAATAACTTATCCAACGTCGCACTCATGGTAATTATCAATCAGTGATTAATTAACCTTCCCTCCATAATTGATAATCTTACCAAACTAATCACAGCCAAAGTTGGGCGTCTGTTTTTGACTAAACTCGCTCTCACTAATCAATAAGTCGTCATTGGTGGCTGCTAAGGTGAGAATCCGTGTTTATTGNAATAATGATAATATTTAGTGAAATCACAGAAAAAGTCTTAGTTTATATGTTGACTGTGAAACAGAAACTGGCCAAAGTTGTACAAAACGTCCACATAAAAAAAAAAAAATTAAAAATCAGCATTTTTATAAATACTGCTTTGTTGTTGTTTAGTTTATTACCATAAAATTACACCATTTTATTATATTTAAAGCAGTAAGAAATTCCATATTTTGCTTTTATTTTAAAGAAATTATTTATACTCGGGATTAAAAACGGTAAATCATGTTTTAACTCTCATCAATTTTCCCTGTTTTGTTAAATTACGTTTAATAACCAGTGAAATGACAGAAAATGTATTAATTTACATGCTAAATGGGTTTTTTTTAAGTCAAAGCTATAAATAAATAATCTGCATTTTTATGTATAGTAGTTTGTTGTTTCATTAGTGCTGCCATAAAATTATATCATTTTATTGTGTTTAAATCAGTTTTTTAAAAATTACATATTTTGTTTTTATTAAGAAAAAGATTTTTTAAAAATGGTAAATCATTTTTTAACTATCTTAGAAAATTTCCCTGTTTTGTTAGATTATATTTAATAACCAGTAAAATCACAGAAAAACATATTAATTTTTTAAAAAATGTCAATACTATGAATAAAATCTGTATTTTTTAGTAGTGACTGTAAAAATACACAGTTTCATTGTATTTAAATCAGTTATAACTAATATTATTTTACATTTATTTTCCAGTAATTTCACTTTTCTTAATCATTTTTGAATGTTACAGTGTGACCCAGTTTATCAACATATTTTACAACAGATTTTTATTTCTTTTTCCTATTTCTCGTCCTTCCTTTTCACATCTTTTCATTTCCCTTTATCTCGTTTAGTGCTCATCCTTGTTATAACCGCCCCTGATTTATGTCCTTCTTTAGTTTTCTCACCAACTCTTTCTCTAAACATTCTTTATTTCTGCCCTTCTTCTCCAGTTTTTCCTTCATTAGTCTATTTTTCGTCTCTAAACCGTCCTCCTCATCTTTTATCCAAATCCCCGCCATCATCATCATTTTGATTTTTCGGCTTCCCTCTCGCCGTCCTCTCCCTCCTGTTTTCTCCTTCACGCTTATTTTTCTCCTCGTTTTGTTCTCCTCGTTTTTTCTTTCTTTCTTTCTTTCTTTCTTTCTTTCTTCTTGCATCAGACCTGCTGCGTGTGAACTTCAGGCTCTTTTAAAGGATGCTTCCTCTTTGATTTCGCTGCTGCCAACACTCACACGTGTGCATGAATAAACTCGGCCGTGATGCTCGCCGTGGAAGAGTCGCGCCGAGTCGACGTGGAGTCGATGCAGCAGCAGTGAAAACATATCAGGGTTTGATGCACTTTGAAGCTGAATGATTGATGCCAGCGTCAAAGGGAGAAAACATCAGAAGCAGGTGAGTCTCTGTGTGGATTATATGAGCTTTTATTTTATAGGAATCTCGTATACGTGTGTGGAAGTTCATTTCATGTCATTTATCTCTGATTTTTTTTTACAATTTTTCAAGAAGTTGTTGCACACTGTAAAAAAAACCCAAAAAAAACCCCATTTTCTAATGAATTTAATGTAAATTTTTAGGTGTTAACCAAAAAAGAACTAAATAATGTTCACTTGCAATTAAATAATTTGGAAATTATTTATTTTAAAGGTGTTTGCTGTGAAATGACACCGTTTTTATTGCATTTAAATCAGTAGAAAACTGTTGATTTAACAGCTCCAACTCCAGCTACTGCCAAGATTTAATGTTTTTAATCCACACAAACATGAAGCTTGAATCAAACGACTATCGTCACACATCCACGGTTTCTAGAAACAGGTCAGAAGATGCTTTGATGCTCTTTTTAAAAATCTGATTCACGTTTGCAGCTTCATCACAGTTTCCGTTTGACTTTGAGAGTTTCGTGTCTTTCAGGAGAAACAAATGAAAGAAGTTAAAATGAGGTGAAATCCGTCTGACCTCTGATCCGCTCCGTCCTCGTCGTGACACAGTCGAACCTCCGGCCGAGTTTCTCGGAGCTTAAGGAGGAACGAGACGAGCTCCCCCATCTTTGTCTCCCGTTGCCGTGGTAACAGGACGAGGGTTGTGAAGCCATTAGGCCTCCGGTCGCCGTGGAGCGGTTTCCGTGACGATAGGTGTGTGTGTGCCTGTGTCCGTGTGCACGTGACCCAGTGACACGCTTAGACGGTGTGTGTGAGTGATGTCATGTGATCTCATACGTGACATCACACACGTGTGAANGCCTGCACCGGGAGCTGGGAGCGGGGCAAGAGCTACGGCAGCTGGGAGAGGAGGAACCACAACCCCCTGGAGCCCACGCCCTGCCCGGACGCCTACTGCAACCTGGTCATCCTGGCCGTGGAGAACAGGGTGGGCTCCTCAGCCACGCCGCTCACCCTCAGCTACATGATTCCACACCGAAATCAATCTTTATTTCACCAGTCACCAGTTTGTTTGACCCTCCAAAGTCCAAACAGCTTCTGGGCAACTTGTTGCTCCAGTTGCACTCATTTTTGATCTCTGGAAACAGAACAACCATGACTAGAAGTAGAAAGAATGAAAAAATATTGTCTGTGCAGTACAACAGTTAGAATAAATAAAATCTAAAACAAAAAAGTAATAATTTAACTACTGACATTTTTATTTGTTTCCATGTTCTGGTCTCTGATCTGCGTGAACACTTCCTGCAAATCAGCTAAAAAAATCTCAATGAATTCTTGTCTTGTGACTGTTGGTCGCAGCTGAATCACTGATGACTTATCAGTTGTGGGAAGAATTGCAGAATTTATTGTTTTTTACGGAATCTAATTGGAGCAAATTATTAATTTTTGGCACATTTTTAAATAAGACAGAATAAAGTGATGATTGAGAGGATATTGTGTTGTTAAGCTTGTCTTTGGTTAATTTTTCTGACCAAATGTCGCGAATGAGTCGTTGGAATTTATTTGATCATTTATTTAAAATAACTGGGAAAAAAACAAGAGTTACCTGCTATAGATATTCAACCACTTAGATTTTTAATTTGTTTCCGTCCATGTCTACTACACTTCCTGCAGTTCAGCCAGTAAACTCTGTGAATTCTTGTCATGTGACTGTTGGTCGCAGCTGAGTCGCTGATGGCTTATCAGGTTTGGGACGGACTGCAGAATTTATTGTTTTTTACAGAATCTATTTGGAGCAAACTGTGTATTTTTGGCAAATTTAAAAGTTTATTTATTTGCAGCCAAATAAGGAGATTTAGACCGATCCCTTTTCATTACATTTCAGAGGGCAGGGCTGCAGAGACCCATATGTTTTCTGGAGCTTTAGTACCGAGGAGTCTCCAAAACGTTTTTATTTCAGCTCTGCAGCTTCCTCGGTTCTGGATTCTCCAGATCTCAGTTTGCTTAAAGGTCAGAGCTGCTGTTAGTGTCGCCTCGTCTGAACTCAACCGGATGGATTCGCTCGTCATCCCACTAAAATACCGTGAAGCCAAATTAAATTAACCTCTTTTGTTTTCAGCATTAAGCTCAGAGGACAGGAGACGGAGATGTTGAGTTCTGACGAGTCGATGGTGCAGTTTTTAATTTATTGATTTAAAAGTTGGAACCAACCGACCAGCAGCTACGAACACCAGAGCAGAGAGAGGAAGTATAGAACAGTTCTGTCTTCAGAGTTCAATAACGGCTTGGTGCTGGAGCAGCAGAAAGTGGGTCGACGCTGGTGCTGCTCGTTCATCCAACACAAACACACACAGACTCACACTGTTGCGTAACACCATTCATTACATCACGTTAGCAGCAGCAGCAGCAGCTCGGTCTGGGATCAGTTTCCTCCGTTCACGTCGTCTCTGCAGCAGAGTGTTCGCTGCCCCTGAGCAAGGCACTAACCCCAAAGCATGATAATGAGAGAGTGTGTGCTTGTTGTGTGCAGGATGCTGCCGAGGAGTACTGCTCCCTGATCTGTCAGATGTTCCAGATCATTTACGGGCATCGGACCATCGAGTGCGTGGACAGGGCGGGCTTCCACCACACCATGCCGGACCGCTACTGGCTGCAGAGGAGTGAGTGACGCACGGTGGAGCCGGATTTTAACCATAAAAAGTTATTCCAGGGCTGCGACTGATATCAGCGATCAAGGAGGCCGAGAACTGAAATCCCTTCTAAAGACAGCTTTTCTTGATTTTACATAAGTTTCTTTATCTGTGTGTTGTTTTATTTATTATATACAAGTGAAACCAGAAGTTCACATCCACTGTATAAAAAAACCTTTTTTCCCTCGCTATCTGACATTAAATCAGACGAAACGTTTCCTGTTTCAGGTCAGTCAGGATCATCAACATTATTTCTATTTGCTAAAGAATAATGAGAGAGAGAATTGTTTATTTCTTTCTTCAGAGTCAGAAGTTTACATCCACTAAGATGCCTTCAGACTACTTGGGAAAGCCCAGATGATGATGTCATGGCTTTGGAAGCTTCTGATTGGTTAGTTGACAACATGTGAGTTAACTGGAGGCACACCTGAGAACTGTGGACCTCCACCAGTCTGGTCCATCCTT